GGAGGGTTTGGATGATACTCTCAGGCACACGGGGATGGGCCTGTGCAGGGCCAGGAGTTGGACTGGATGATATTTGGGGGTCCCTTCCAACCTGGCATGCTCTGGGATTCCGTGACAAGAGGAAGCATCCCTTCCCAGGTCTGGTAAAACCCATTCCCAAGGCTGACAGGACCCATTCCCAGGGCTGGTAGCACCTGTTCCCAGGGCTGCCCATTACAAAGGCTGGCAGGACCCATTCCCAGGGCTGGTAGAACCCATTCCCAGGTGTGTTAGAACCCATTCCCAGGGCTGGTAGAACCCATTCCCAGGGCTGGTGCAGCACCCATTCCAAAGGCTGACAGGTCCCATTCCCAGGGCTGGTAGAAGTTCCCTCGGGGGAAGTTTAGGTTGAAAATTAGGGAAATTTTATTCATGGAGAGGGTTGTCAAGCCCTGGAATGGGCTGTCCAGGGAGGTGGTGGAGTCACCATCCCTGGAGGGACCTCAAAGCCGTGTAGATGTGGCACCTGGGGCCGCGGGTGAGCGTCGTGGTCACAGAGGCCGGAGAAGCTCCCGGAGATCCGTCGGAGCCTCGCGAGCGCCTGGAAAACCTCCCGGAGCATCCCTGAGCCCCCTGAGCTGCCCAGGCTCGAGGGGCAGGGCAGGAGGCAGAGCCCTGACTTGGGTGTTCTCCCTGCCCAGACCTGGACGAGTGTGCAACCGAAGAGCACAAGTGCAACCTCAACGCCAACTGCGTGAACACGCCCGGCTCCTACCGCTGCGCCTGCCGCGAGGGCTTCAACGGCGACGGCTTCTCCTGCTCAGGTGAGGCCACGGGCAGCAGGAATGTGGCCTGGGACCTGGAATTTTATCCCAGTTAGGCCCCAAAAATCCCCCACTTTGACAAGGGCACTGGCAGTTTCTCTTTAAGCGCAGGTGACGGATGGGCCTGCATGTTTAAGGCTTTTAATTCAAAAGTCGTCGTGAAAGAGTTGGTGGGGTGGTAGGGTGTTCTCATCAAGCTGCAGCAGCTCCAGGGGGGTGTTTAAGCCCCTCACAGCTCGTTATGCAGATGTAACAAGCCTTAAGTAAAAAGCCTTTGGGGATTGTTATTTCTCACAGTTCCAAGTCGCTGGATATTCCCTGGAGCTGCTCTCCCAGACAAAATAACTCCCTGATCCCAAGTCATTTTGCTTCCTTTTTTTTTTTTCCTACTGCTTCAGCTCAAAGAGTGGTTTGGAATATTTAATTTTGCTTCGTGTTATCGCAGCTTTACTTGCAGAAACAACCCCACTGGAGGAATTCCTCCTGGGCAGACACGTCATTCTCTTTTCTGAGCTTCTTTCCTTCTCATCCTTCGCCCTCTTCCCCGCCAGCCTGGCTCAGCACCCTGGGGGGGGTGTGTCTGGGCTTCCCCCAAAATCCCAGATGTCCCCTCAAAATCCACAGCAGCCCGATTTACACCTCAGATACCTTCAGCAGGGATCCCCCACCCCCTCAGCAGGGATCCCCCACCCCCTCAGGAGGTGTTTGGGGAGGATCAAGGCAATGAGGAGAACTGCAGCCCCCTGGCAGAAGAGGGGCTGTGGGGTTGGACTGGATGATTCCTGTGGGTCTCTTCCAACTCAGTATGTTCTGGGATTCTGGGATTCTGTAATCTAAGCTGCCACAGGAGCATCTTTCTCAAGGTACTTGCTCAGTTCAGAAATGTTCCCCTCTGCTGCAGTTTATGTCCCTGATGAATGGGAGGTTCCACGGGACAAGATCACTCTCCTCCGAGAGCTGGGACAGGGGTGGGATGGGCTTGTGGGAATGTTGAGGGAAGTGCCACATGCTGGGGGATGCTGTGTCAGTGTCCTGCTGGGTCTCTCTAGATGTGGATGAGTGTGCAGACAACGTGAACCTGTGTGAGAACGGGCAGTGCCTCAATGCCCCCGGCGGGTACCGCTGCGAGTGCGAGATGGGCTTCAACCCCACCGAGGACAGCAAGGCCTGCCAGGGTGAGTGCCCAGAGTTCTGCCCAGCTCAGTGCCCACCTCCCTTCTGTCCTTCCCTCTCCACTGCTCTGTCACCACCCAGCCCATTGCTAAGGCCCCCCATCACCTGGTGGTGCAAAGCTCCTGAGCTTCCAGCTGGCAGGATTTGGTCCCCCGCCTTCAGAGGGGCTGGGGTAGGCCAAGGGTTCCTGCAAAATGTGGGCATGGGTGAGAAGAGAGGGCACTGATGCAACATTCCTGCAAAATGTGGGCATGGGTGAGAGGAGAGGGCACTGAGAGCAGTCCTGCTCACCCAGGAGATGGTGTCCCATGGCACCAAAAGCCATCCTGAGATGGGTCACCCACAGCAGGTGGGACAGGAGAAGCCTGTGCTGGCCCTGCCCCTGGCACACCCTGAGTGCCCAGCTCTGCCTGTTTTTGCAGACATCGATGAGTGCACCTTCCAGAACATCTGTGTCTTTGGCACCTGCCAGAACCTGCCCGGGATGTTCCGCTGCGCCTGCGACGATGGATATGAGCTGGACAGGAGTGGAGGCAACTGCACAGGTCAGGGCTGCTGGGAGAGGGGCACTGCTCTGGGTGGCACCAGCAGCCTAAAGCCAGCTCAGTGTCCCTGTGGGATGCTGGAAGGGGGACAGGAGGGACAGCTCAGTGTGGCTCTGCTCCCTTCTGCTGCCTGTGGGAGGTGGGACAAGGCAAGGCCTGTTTCTAGAAGGGTTTTGGTGACATCCCATGAAGAGCTTTAGGGACACCAAGGTGTGGGGGTTCACCTGCAGAGCTCAAGGCTGTGGTTTCTGTGCCAATCTTCACCCTGTTTTTTCACTCTCCACCCTTCCATCCTTTCAGACATCAATGAATGTGCAGACCCTGTGAACTGCATCAACGGGCTCTGCGTCAACACCCCCGGCAGCTACTTGTGCAACTGCCCCCAGGACTTCGAGCTGAACCCCACTGGGGTGGGCTGTGTGGGTGAGTGGGGACCTGCATGGAGAGCACCTTGGGGGGCCTTCTTGGTGGTCCCTCAGAGCTGGAACTGGCCACTACCAGGCTGGCTGACCACCAGAAGAAAAGGAGCCATCTCCTGTTGGGCCTGGCCCACCTTGTGTCACCTGTGTGGGTGCTCTGCTTCTTGAAGAAGTTATTCCAGGGAAGCTCTGGGGCTGTTCTTATTCCCTGGAAGTGTCCAAGGCACTGTTGGACAGGGCTTGGAGCCACCTGGGCTGGTGGAAGGTGTCCCTGCCCGTGGCAAGGGGTGGAACTCCATGACCTTCAAGGTTCTCCCAGCCCAAACCAGTCTGGGATCCCGTGATTCTGTTCCTCCTGTGCACACAAAGTTTCCTGGAGGGGCTCTGCTCACCCACCACTGTCTTTGTGCAGACACCCGTGTCGGGAATTGCTTCCTGGACACCCAGGACCGAGGAGATGGGGGGATCTCCTGCAGTGCAGAGATCGGAGTCGGGGTCACTCGGGCCTCCTGCTGCTGCTCCCTGGGCCGTGCCTGGGGCAACCCCTGCGAGCTGTGCCCTCCAGCCAACACCAGTGAGTTGGGCAGTGCCTGGGGGGAACTCAGGAATGGGGTGGATGGACAGCAGGGAAGGGAGACAGGGATGCTTCCCTATGGATTCTCTACTCAGGGAGAGGCTCCTGGGTCCTGGATTTGCTGGGGAAGCTGAGGGAGAGGGAGGCAACCCTGTGCAGGGCCAGGCAGGGCAGGGGAGGGGTGAAGGGGGGTGGGGGAGACCCGGCTGGTCGTGCCTTGTTGGGATTCAGGTTGGGATCCTTCATCCCTAGTCTGGTGGGGGAGCTGGAATAACCCTGTTATTCCAACAGGCAAGCAGAGCCAGGAGGGATAATGTGGCTTGGCAGGCCATGGAAGTCAGGCTGCTCCCTCTGCCACCACCCCCACCCCTGTGGCCTGTTTTTCCCGGGTTTCTCTCACTTCTCCCTCCCCCTCCTGTTTCCTGGGAGCCCCCCCACAAGCTCTGGACCCCTCTGACTGATTTTTCCACAGCTGAGTACAAGACCCTGTGCCCTGGAGGGGAAGGATTCCGGCCCAACCCCATCACTGTCATCCTGGAGGGTGAGTTACCCTGTGCCCCGTGCCAGGGGTGCTGGGGGAGCCCAGCCCTGTGAGGGCACTATTGGGTGCCCACCTTTGAATCACAGAATCCCAGAATCATCTGGGTTGGAAGGGACCTCTGAGATCATCAATCCAAGCCTTGATCCAACCCCGCTGTGGTTCCCAGCCCATGGCACTGATGCCACATCCAGTCTCTTCTTAAAAACCTCCAGGGATGGAGAATCCACCCCTTCCCTGGGCAGCCCATTCCAATGGCTGATCACCCTCTGTGGAAAGAAATTCTTCCTAATATCCAACCTAAACCTCCCCTGGCACAGCTTCAGACTGAACCCTCTTGTCTTGCTGATGGTTGGCTGGGAAAAAGAGACCAACCCTTATTTATGTGTTTCCTTACATAAAGAAATAGGATGGAATACTGGGAAGAACATAGGGACTTCCTTGGTTTTGAGCTGGTTGCCAGGGAAAGGCCTAAATCAAACCATCATGGCGGGGCAGCGTTTTCCAACCAGGATGCTCATGGAAGTCTCTCTGTGTGTGTCTGTGTGTGTCTGTGTGTGTCTGTGTGTGTCTGTGTGTGTCTGTGTGTGTCTGTGTGTGTCTGTGTGTGTCTGTGTGTG